TTGGGTTGGGTTAATGTAATCTATAATAGAGGCTCACTCACCGGGTTCTTCTTATGCTGTGGAACATTTATACGTTTTCTTTAAATTAATGTTAGAAAAATATTATTGGCGTCATGGAGGAACCCTAGATTTCAGTTTGGTGTCCAAACCGCAATCAATTTGACATGTGTTTTGATATATTGGGACCACTACAAACGAAATGAAAACCTTAAAAGCTCAACAAAGTACATTCGATTTCTTTTTTTTTTCTTTTTTGCGTTTCAATAAATAATTGTATGTTCTTTGTAACCAAGAAATCGGAGACCTTTTTTTTTCTTTGGAAGAGAAGGAGAGCTTAGAATAGATACATAATCTTTTTGAATTAGAAATTAAAACAGGTTAAATTATTTCATTTTCTGTAATCCATGTTCGAATTTAGGACTTGATCCAGATAGTATACTTACAACAATTTCGAAAAAAATCATTATTTAATTTTTTTTATATGAAATTACGACAGTTTCAAACCAAAATGATCATTTTACCTCCATATAAATATTACAGTATCTTTAATTATTATAATTCAAAATTTTATAATAACTTTTAAAACCTCATTTAGGTCAATATTAACAAATCTGTAAAACTGATAAATTGTCATAACAAAGTACCCTGTTTTTTTGTGTGTATTTTTGTGTTACACTGCACTTGATAAATAGAAACAGAAAATATTAACAGAAATTACACAGTAACTAGAATAGAACTCAATAATAATATATAAAATTTGAAGATTTTTTACAATGAGCGATTTACGTTGTAATGTTTGCCCTTCGTAATTTTATTTGCCCTCAAATAGATATATCTTGTAAAAATAAATATAAATAATTTATTAAATTAAGGTTTCACTCACACTCGGTTATGGTTTTGCTTCATATATATATATATATATATATATATATATATTGACTCATATAATTAATTATGTTGTACATGTTAGAAGCAGTTATTGTATGAGGGAGTGGTGAATGAAGAGTGATCCATACCGAATAGTACACTGAAGCGATAAGTGTTTTGATATACGAGAGATTTATAAGTTTTCTATTTTTGTTTTCATCTTCCTTCTGGATTCAAATATTTAACTCATTTTTCTACAACCAATTTGTCCCTAACCAGAATGTCCATAACTTGCACGATCACTCCATGATGCTTCATAGTTTATTATAGCTTGAAAGCTAATTCTCCCTCAATTGAGTATTTCCCAACATTCAAAGTTTGCTTTATAAAAGTTATCCATATAAATTATAAAACATTATATTTGGATGATGGTAAATCATATGTGTGAGAATAGAAAAAACCTTGCTTGACATCTGTGAGAGCATAAGGGAATTGACATGTTTGCAATGTTCGAATCAACTTAATTCAAACTTTATTGTTACTGTTTTCTTACGTCTTGACTTAATTTTGTTAAAAATCAGAACATCAAACTAGATTTAAAATCTGAAATCTCCCACATATATTAGATATATGGCTAGCTAGACGACCAGCAAAAGACTTCACTCCAATACTTGATATAAATATATACACATTTCTATTTCTTGAAGTATAAGAATAGACGCACAGTTATAGGCTTATAGTTATAACCTATCATTAATTCATTATATTATATGTTGCGAGCGAGGCATTAAATGAAAGGTACATAGAGAGGGAGCACGAGAAATGGTTTATAGGAAAGAGGTTGTAAGTTTGTAAGCTAAAATTGCGCTCATTTTTGCAGTCTCACTATAAATGCTCACAATAGTAAATACACCATGCCTTCTCTTCAATGCCCTAATTTCCCTTCACATGCAATTTCCCTACTTTTCATTTTTTTAAAAAAAATTGTTATCCTTATCTTTCTTTAATATCATCACTTGCCCAGTTCCATAAGTTTTCATATATATATTTTTAGTATTTAATAAACTAATGTGTGACTTCTTATACAATTGGTGCATCTATCAAATACTCATATAAATCTTGAGTTGTGGAGAACGAAGAGAGAAATTGTGAACATTATTCTTACTTGTTATTTATAGGATTTTTTTTTTTTTTAAGTTGGTTGCCTTTCTTTGGCTTATGGATAGTTATGTGATTTTAAAAACCCCAAACAAAATATGATGATTTATCGTCAAAATAAATCCAAGATATAATGCATTAGTAATTTCAAATATCATTAAAATTATAGCACAAATTTAATTCTTAATAGGTTTATACTAATACAACAAATTTCTAGCAATGATTTTTTTATACTTTAATTTTCTAATACTTGCTTTTAGCTTTTTTTCCAACAAAGCCTTCTAAATTGAGAGTTTCATATATTACATTATAAACATATGTATTATTTCTGTACACGGGTAGAGGGTTATTGATTTAATTTGATAGTTATTTTTTCTAAACAATGTGGTACATCAAAGGGTGTGTCCTATTAGTAGTACACGAAGTTTGGTTTTCTTTTCTTTTTCTTTTTGCTGAAAATAAGGTTGGTTTTCTTGTGTCCCAAGTTCAATTTTTTTCGGACGAAAAATTAATTATCCTTTAAATCAAAATATTTAAAGATGTGTTTTATACATGTAAAGTCTTATACGCATTTTTTCCGAGATAATTCGATTATTGTGAGAAAGTGCTAATCTTCTTTTTGTTAAAGGGCCTTCAGAAGAAGGTGCTAATAATCTTCATACCATATGTATATATGGTATGTGAGATCGATCACCATACTTTAGAGTCGATCAATCCAATTAACTTGTTTTTTTAAAAAAAAAAATTCTCGACCATCTCAAACATTTTTAATAAATATTGCATGGCATGTAGTAACTCTCCATGAAGTATGGTGATGTTCAAAAGATCTAACTCTGCAAGGGTTCTAATGATATTTAAATCATCGACATAACCAAACTTAAGACCACTATAAGATGCGAAGGAGAAGAATATTTCATTTCTTACGTCTTCTTGGTTTTGGTATTATTGTTGAATTGTTGTGTTATATATATATATATATATATATATACACTATAGCATTTTCATTATTGAGTAAACAACATGCGACAGAAGTGAATTAAAGTGATATGGTCCAGGTTAAAGGGTTCACTCTGAATATCATTATTTGGCAAAGTTTGAGTCTCCCATTACTATTTCAGTTATCTTTAATCACATTAAAGAAAATCTGAGTTTTTATAGATCTCAAGAAATTAGTATGGATTTCGGCTTGAGACTCCCCTGAATAAAAAAAGACATCCAACATAAATGGCACAAAAAGCTTATATAAAAAACATTATCATGCATTACACTAAATCATGCATGTACTCGTAAGGACAAAAGACATGAAAATCATGCTTGTACTCTTCAGGACAAAAGAGATAAAAATCATGCATGTACTCTTAAGAATTTGACAAAAGATGAAGAAATGGCAAATTTTTAATTAATCCCATTGGGAATATGTGAAATTTATTTGAAAAGCCTAAGAATCAGTGACCACTTACCTCACACGTGTATAATGAACAAACTTTGGAACAAACCTTTTTTTGGTGTGGAATTAAATTTGCATTTTGCAATATCAATTTTCTAAGTACGAGAAATAAGTTTCCGAGAAACATCCTCTTATAGGAATTAGAGTATGCCTAAGAAAATATGAATTTTTAACAACATTCTCTCAAGTTTATTTGTTTAAGATTGTATATTAAAAAAAGTCAAATGACATAATTAATATCTAAAGCTTACATTAAACTAAACTAGTAAAGACACCCTATAATGCATCGGGATTCTAATTAAGAGGGCTTTGAGGAATGAGAATGTTTGAAGTAAATATATTTTGTAATACTTGGGACTAGATACAAGCACAGTAATACTACTATTAGAACTCTTGCAGGGATCCTTAATTTTTTTTATATATATCTCAAATATATCACTACATTCAGACAACATGCTCATAGCACATATACAATTTACATAAACACGAGAAACAACTTTAAATGAAGAACAATTTACATTTCTGTATACTTTTTACTTTATAAACAAACTGTTAAAGACGTATTGATGAAACCGGCCAAATGTTTCTGATTTAAATCTAATAACATAACCTAAGCTAATGTTATGGACCAACTTAGCTTCTTTAAGGAGAACGAAGCTTGGGTTACACGTAATTTGATCTCATCAGTCCAATTACAACAGCGTGTCTAGAGATTTTTAAGTCAAGGCAAATGCTCCTGGCGAAAGAACACATTAGAAATAACGAACATAGAAAAGATTATTTGATGTTATGAAGTATGAACAGACTGAATTTGAAACAGATCGGATCAGTCCCCTCTACTATGCTATCCTCAAAATTATGAGTCAACTAAGTGGACGAAGATCTAAGAAGCAACTTCCTTACTTTAGCAAAGGATCTTTGTTTACTAAGTGGAAAATGATCTAAAAGTCAACTAAGTGGACAAATATCTCATTTCTTGAGAATATGAACAGCATCGGGCATTTGGTCTAGTGGTATGATTCGCAAGACCAAGATAACAAGGAGAAAATAAAAATTTCAGACATAAGACACGAGGTAAGACTTTCAAGATTCACTAACATGATCAAAGTAACTGACAGAACAAGATGCAAAGTGTATCCTTACTCTAGATTCAAAAAAAAAAATTGTATCCTTATCATCAGATCCACTAGATTAGGTTCCTCGAACCTACACTACACCCACATCTCCACAACCAAACAAACCTAAATTGAATCTAGCTCCGTCAAATCGTCAATTGCCCATGTGACTTTTCATGCACAATAAAACTACAAGAAGGGGTGTTAAGAAAATGGACCTAAAGGCCACACTATTTCCTTTCCTGTGTTTAACCTAACTTCATCAAAAACAGGGCATTTGGTCTATAGTGGTATGCTTCTCGCATACTTGTGGCCTTAAGGATTCAGTCTCGCGCGCACGTCTTCATAATATTCCATCCAGTTAGTTAATGCAGGCAGGACATGAAACAAAACAGAAAAAGTAGTAGAATTTCCACACAAAAAGGTTGCTTCGACCTACATCAATAGCCGAACAGTTCTTTCAGCGGCAAGATTCACGTGTAAGGGTACAAAGAGGTCCCGGGTTCAATTATTGCCTTGGAGATGTCCCATCTAAATATTTACTCAATTTATGAGTTGTAATAAGACTGATAAACACGTAACCATTATTTAGACCACAGAAGTTGAAAAAAGCTAAAAGAAGATAACACTCAAAAACAGAGTGACTTTTACAGAGAACGCAACATTCGTCAACTCCGGCGAAATAACGGGATCAATGGCGTCGGAGGCTAAACCACACATCATGGTGTTTCCTTACCCAGCACAAGGCCACTTGCTTCCGCTACTAGACTTAACCCACCAACTCTGCCTTCGTGGACTCATCGTCTCCGTCGTCGTCACTCCAAAAAACCTCCAATACCTCTCTCCTCTTCTCTCTGCTCATCCTTCCTCCGTCACTCCCGTCGTTTTCCCCTTTCCTCCTCATCCTTCTCTACGTCCCGGCGTTGAGAACGTCAAAGACCTCGGAAACTCCGGTAATCTCCCAATCATGGTCTCTCTTCGTCAGCTTCGTGAACCTATCATCCTCTGGTTCCGTTCTCACCGGAATCCTCCGGTCGCTGTCATCTCTGATTTCTTCCTTGGATGGACAAACGGTCTATGCAATCAGCTCTGTATTCCTCGCTTCGTCTTCTTCTCCTCTGGCGCGTTCTTAGCTTCCGTTCTCCAGTTTTGCTTCGACAACATCGAAACCATTAGAACAACGACGACGGGAGAGATTCGTTTCTCCGGTCTTCCTCGTGAACCGGTTTTCAAGGAGGAGGATCTTCCGTCGGTGGTTCGACGCTTGGTCCAATCTCCGTCGCCGGATTTCGAAGGTATCAAAGATGATTACTTGATGAATTTTCAGAGCTACGGTTGCGTTTTCAACACGGCAGAGTGTTTGGAAGACGAGTTCATCGAGTACGTGAAGCAGAGAGTTGGTCACGACCGTGTTTTCGGAGTTGGCCCGCTTTGTTTAACCGGGTTGGACACGGTTGGTTCTGTTAAATCCGATTCCGGTTTGCTGAGTTGGCTCGGCGGTTTCCCAGAACGGTCCGTGCTATATATCTGTTTCGGAAGTCAAAAGGCTTTGACGAAAGAGCAGTGTGATGCGTTGGCCTTAGGACTCGAGAAGAGCATGACCCGGTTCGTTTGGGTGGTTAAGAAAGATCCGATACCCGAAGGATTCGAGGATCGGGTCGCTGGTAGGGGAATGGTCGTTAGAGGTTGGGCCCCACAGCTTGCGGTGTTGCGACACGTGGCAATCGGAGGGTTTTTGAGCCACTGTGGATGGAACTCGGTGCTGGAAGGGTTAACGTGTGGAGTTACGGTGTTGACGTGGCCAATGGAGGCGGACCAGTTTGTGAACGCGAGGTTGCTGGTGGAGGATTTGGGTGTGGCGGTTCGGGTCTGCGAAGGGGATGGAGCAGTACCCGACCCGGATGAGATATGCCGGGTCATAGGTGAAACTATGGGAGAGTGTGGACGGGACGTGGGTGCTCGAGCGGAGGAGATACGGCGGAAAGTAGTAGGAGCAGTGATGGAGGAAAAAGGAAGCTCTTTTGCTGATTTAGAAAGACTTGTCAAAGTATTTGGTCTTCTTTGAAGATTCTCAAAAATGGATTTTTATTCTCAAGAATCAAATGATTATGAAAAATCTACACAAGAAACAAAAAAAAAGAATCATCTTACGTTCATATTTGTTCCATTAATTTAGTTGAATTTGTCTGATCAATGATCATAGTTTCTGTTGAAATAGCAAATATCACTGCCACAGTGCCACGTACCTTCACTTTGGTATCAGAGGATTGACATTTTGGACGAAGCCAAGCTCTTCCTGAAATATTGTAACCACATAACTTCGGACACCACTTACAGTATGCTGCCTGATTCTCCAACAACGAGCTGAAAGATATGTAAAAAGGATAGTGCCCTTAAGTTATTAAAAGTTCAGAAAAATCACAAAAGACAATGCGTAATAAAACTTCAAGATCATTGCTTCAACTCAATTACAATAATAACAGGGCATTTGGTCTAGTGGTATGATTCTCGCTTTGGGTGCGAGAGGTCCCGAGTTCGATTCTCGGAATGCCCCCATTGACTTTTTTCAACAGTGAATGTTTGGTATGCCAACTAAATTTTGTTACTGAAAATTCTGTCCTCTGGTGCCAGATTTTTTTAGTTCATGTCCAACTCAACAGTTGACCAGTCCCTCGAATTTCACTATCAGTAAATTACAAACGACCATGGCAACATACCTTAGCTTTCAGATCATATAATTGAGATATCCAACCAGATAATATCAGAAAAGTGCTATGCTACCAGATTTTCCAAGGACTAGCTGCAGAAAATGAAAAAACACCTAAGTTAACAAAGTCTGAAGGATTTCAAAAACAGGTACTCCAAATGAATTACATTAACAATAGGGCATTTGGTCTAGTGGTATGATTCTCG